TGTTGAATTCGTCTTCTTTCATTGTTTTGCTCATATTTCACAGCACGTTTGCCAAATCCTGTGACTAAATAACGCGTTTCCAAGTGTCGCACAGGAGAAATACTTACATAGATTACTAAATATAGACAGTGATTTTAATCAAAAATCTAACGTTTAAGAAAGCTTGAAAAAATACTTAGATATGCCTGCAATATCTCAGCACAGAACATTATATCTAAATACATAGCTGTGTTAAGCAAATTTAAATTGATTATCCGTTCTAATTTCAAGACGAACACGTATGAATCATGTGACGTCACATAATAAACGTAACTGCGCATGCCATCTAACATATAAACACATGTTGCTTAAAGCTGTGCTGATATGTTATGTCCTTTTTCCGCATGCAAAAATGCAATACGGTTTTCAAAATTAAACTGGCTCGCTCGTTTGACGTGTATTATGTGACAATGAACTAGCTCCAATCCAAGGAACCTATATTGCAAAAAGGGACAACATATCCAGGGCCTTAGAGTCACAGGTTCAGGGCTGTGGCGACCTTGAACAACAGGGATGTCATGAGGACAAAAAATTACTGCGTTTATGCACATTTTAAAGTCAAATATGATGAAAGAACGAAGAAATGAAACCATGCCGCTGGCACCATTCACAAATAATGGCGGCTGAGGGCGAAATAATCATATTATACTACCCCTGCTGCAACTTACACTCACTACACCACTACCGGTTTCGAGGCTGGATCGGCTGTATACTGTTACAAACATGGAAAGTCGCTTCCCAGCAATGTGAGTCTTATGGTTGGGCAGAGAGGTTTACAGGGGTAAGTTCGGGATGGCTAGCAGCAGCCACGTCTGGTTCCCCGACCTTGGCGACGAAATATGGGATCTCAAAGGTGCTGGAATCTTCTCGATATTTCTATTAGGAGAGAAGATACGTCACGAATGTGCTAGATCATTCCATGTGATGTCACGGCCTGCCGGGGAAAACTATATAAGGAGAGCGCTTGGACGACGGAGGGTATTGTTGATCGACTAGGATCGCCTTGGAGCGCGAACGTCTTTGGAGTCCTATCCGTTGTGCAAGCTAGTAAGCTGAGCGCTATTGAAAGTGCAGTTATTGTCGTTGCTAGTTATTTGCTGACTGTTTGTGTTGTCAAATATCAAAGTACTGAACTGTTATTACTTGTGAATTGTTGTCTATTTACATTGGTAATCTGTGCAAGAACTATTGTTTCCTGTACCTGTGCTGCGTGTTTTCCTGCATATTTGTAAATAAACCTTCATTCTCCATTATCCTGAGTGTTGGACTGTTTACACCATACACCCACAGTAAGACTTTTGCAACAATACGCCGGCTCTTCAAACCGTCGGAAGAACGTCCTCCCCTTACTGTGGGGTGAAAATTTGCTCAGATTTCGTCCTAGGCATTAAATCACTGTTCAAACAAACGAGGTACATCCCTACATAATCTTCGCATGTCTTCAAAATGGGATATTAACCCTTTCCAAACCTGTAAAGCCATTTGCGATAAGCGTGGCAACATGCTTTTCTAAGAATTTCCGCTTTTAATTTAGGCTGGAGAGGGTTTGAAGGTGCCTAAATGGCAACATGATCTGGATACTAATGAATAATTTTAATTAATTAAGAATATAATTAATACATAATAAATGAAAAAATGCTAAATATGAAGCATTTCGAATTTGTTTTTTTAAATTTTTTAAACTAACAAATGATAATTTGAAGCGGAAAGGGTTAGTCTAACTAAACTAAACCAATCTAATGCAGCAGTAGTGAAAACTCAACAGCTTAGAAATTCAATCTAAAAAGTCGCTGAAAAGAATTTTTTTAAAGAATTAAATTATCCTTAGAACTTTTTACACAAAACCTTAGATAATACAAAATGCAAAACCTTTTCTGCAGCAGAATTCAAGCGGCACATATGCGTAAATTGCATTCCGGATAAAAACAAAGTTTTCTTTGGAGGGGAAATAAAAAAAGTCCCGCCTAGAGTGCATGATATATACATGCAGACACGGGATTTGTCTGGAATGTCTGGATTTGCTCCGAAAAGAACCACTCATTCCCTTAACACAAAAACGCAAGAACGGAGCGAAATTCAGGCAATAGCCTATTTCATACTGCTTTTGAATTCTTTACCATCGAATCATTCGGTCTGATTCGACGTCAAAAAAAAAGGAAAAAAATAATAAAAAAAGCTTGGGTTAGGAATACGGATGGGGTGGGGGTCGGAGAATGATGGAAAAATTGTCATTTCATTTTACGACCTCTAACCGAAGGTTTATGACGTCATGAAAAGATCACGTGATGCGATAAGATAGTGTGTTTCTACTTGAGCCGTAAAATTGGAGACGGGGACGCATTATATCGCCAGCCCGTATTATGATGGCGTTGAAAAATTAACCTTTTAAGGCCATTATTTGAATCCCAGTCTTGCAGCAGGGAGATTACTCTTTAACAAACAAATTGATAAAAATATTTTAACAGCTGTAGCTTTATTGAATATAATGCGGCGGTTTTATAAATGGAAGCGCACTTTTCTTCGGTGTTAAAAAATTCATTGTTTTGTATGCAAACTAGGTCGGAGCTTTAAAGAAATAAATTCCCTTACGCGCTTTTGGAAACATGATTAAAATAGGGTAAGGGAGTATGAGAGATTATATGGCTGCTTTGAAAATATTTCAGCGTGAAGGTTGTGGAGAGTGACAAATAAATTGCTGTCGGTGTACAGTGAAGTGAATGCAAATACTAATAATATAAACAGAACATGGCCGGATAATTTATGCTAATTTACTAAATAAAACAATTTTCAGGAAAATACTGATCCAAGACGAAAGAAAAACAATTCATCGACAACTGTTTCACAATAATAAAATTAGTAGCTTAAATTCAGTAATACATATAAAAGTTAAAAAAAATTATTGGTGTATTAAAAAGGAAAAACAGTTTTCTTTTCAAAAATATGGGAGCCATACAGAAATCGTAAAAACCAAAAGGGCAGAAAGAAATGATCTAAGAAAATTGGAATTGTAATCACATTTATAAAGCATTTAAATTTTTATACAATGAATGATTAGGAATTTTTTGTTTCTTATGATATTCATCGTGGCTTTATATCCTTCTCTTATTATTATCTGCGCCTTACGTGTTACAGAATTTGTTTTGACTTGCAGGATTTTTAATGAAAAATTATTTTTCCATTTTAATACATTGACAGAAGCATTTTTTTAAAAAAAGGATTTTATATCTATTATTGAATTTAAGTGACTAATTTTAATATTGTAAAACAGATGACGATAAGCAGTTTTTTTTCTTTCGTCTTAAAAAAGAATAGCCTTTAACGCCGACCTCCGGGCGGGTTCGCGGAAAGCACTCACTTTGTTCAGCACTGCCCCTGCTACATTGCTACTTCGAGATGGCAGGGGCAACCACTATTTTTTCAGTTTTAAATACTGCATGAAGAACAGTGGAACAGACCATAAAACCACAAGAGATTTTAATATTGTAAAACACATGATGATAAGCAGTTTTTTTTCTTTCGTCTTCAAAAAGACTAGTCGTTCTCGCCGACCTGAGGGCGGGTTCGCTGCCAGCACCCACTTTGTCCATCTTAAAATAGTATCTCGTTAAAAGTAGCGACCCACACGCACCGACGATATTCGAAATTGCGATCTCTTAGATAGTATGTCCACCTTAAAACATTATTTCGTTAAAAGTAGCGACCCACAGGCGCCGGTGAGATTCGAACTCCCGAACTCTAATAACAACATCCAACTCAGTATTTTGAGTAAGTAATGTACATATTGTAAATATTTCATTTTCTATTTTTTTTAAACTATAAATTTCTTGTTATTAATTCTTCCATTTAGATTTTTTGTTCCTCCTCGGCATAATATCCTGAATCCCTGTGTATCAGTTCTCAAAGTTGCAATTCATCTGTGCCAGATTATTTTCTTCATTATAAAGACGTTAATTGTCATGATACTTATTTTCATTGTTAACGTTTCAATTTTAACAACTTGAGCAACTCATTTAAGCAACAATATTGTATGTTATCATCCAACAAATACTTCTTGCCATAATATTTAAACTTTTTGTTTAGCAAATGTATTAGTAATAATCTTAAAATGTAGATTGGTAACAACTTTCAAAAGTACTGGTACTTGCTCCTTTTGGTAAATTTTTGAAAGCAATTTTAATTAACAAAATATTTTTTCCATTCACTAACCACAGCAATTGTTTACTATTGATCATTTAAACAAAATAACATTGTTAATCATTTCATCAAGACCGGGCCAACGAATATGTTTGTGGCCTGCAACTCTCTCAGCCATGTATAACATCTGTGAAAAATTATTCATTGTCATAACTCAATTCATATTATATGTAATGTATTTTTTTTTTAAATTATCAAATAAAGTTGTTCGGGGACGTCGTTTCGGTGCGGGGCCTTGTGTCCCGTGGGGTTGGTTGGTTAATCTCTTGTTTCTGCGGACAGCTATCTAAACCGCGAAAAGAGTTCGCAAGAACTCAAAAGCGGGGCTGCCCGTAGTGTCAATGTTTACTAGAGAGTCGCTTTAACCAACTAAGACACGGCGCCGCGACGCATCTTCTCTAATTCCCAGATAGTATGTCTAACTTAGAACATTACCTCGTTAAAAGTAGCGATACAGAGGCACCGACGATATTCGAAATTGCGATCTCTTAGTATGTCCACCTTAAAACATTATCTCGTTAAAAATAGCGACAAACAGGCACCGGCTAGATTCGAACTCGCGATCTCCTGTTTACTAGACAGGCGCTTTAAGCAACTAAGAAAAGGGCGCCTCAATGACTTTTCCCGAATTCACAGATATTAGGTTCACCTTAAAACATTATCTCGTTAAAAGTAACGATACACAGGCACCGACGATATTCGAACTCGCAATCTCTTACATAGCATGTCGGCCTTTAAACATTATCTCGTTAAAGATAGCGAAACACAGGCACCGGCGAGTTCGAACTCGCGATCTGCTGATCACTAGAATAACTGCGAAAAGAGATCGCGAGATCTCAAAAGCGGGGCTGCCCTGTAGAGTCAATGATCACTAGACTGGCGCTATAACCAACTAAGCCACGGCTCCTCGTCACTTCTTATGTAATTCACAGAGAGTATGTCTAACTTATAACAGTTTCTCGTTAAAAGTAGCGATACACAGGCACCGACGATATTCGAACTTGCGATCTCTTAGATAGTATGCCCACCTTAAAACATTATTTCGTTGAAAATAACCCACAGGCACCGGCGAGATTCGAACTCTCGATCTCCTGTTTATTCGATCCCTGGGACAATTATTGTTGAATTATGTGCAAAGCAGAGAAATATGCCAATGACTTTCTAATATGAATAATACAGGTTCTGTAATTTACCAGGAAAATGTTGCTGACGACAAATACAGATCTGTTAAAAATGGTATGAACACTTTCAGGAATCGTATATTATGTACAATACAGAGAATGCTTGAAACAAAAAAGAAGCGAAAACAGATACGAGTGTAATTGATATACATTTTGTTCTGTGACTGTGACATCAACATATATTTATAAAAAAGTGATACTAGTGAATAGTGATGAGCTTATTATTCTATTTGTGACGATCTGGACTGTTATTTACAAGGATACTGTTGCTGGAGATAATACTAATTCCGTTGAGATATGAACAATACTGAGAAATGTTACGAGCAATGTTATACGTGATAAACATATTTTACGAATACTATGACAAATAGAATATGCTGACATTCTTATATGTGCTATAGAGGTAATAAATGATGCGGCGACAGAAATTCAATACAATACAAAGGACTAACGTATACTATATCAATTAAATGCTGGCATTCTAATATGTACAAAAGTTGCAAGTTGTCTAGCAAATTGGAAGCATATTTCAGACACAGATATATACATGTACTATGCACCAACACACATACTTACTGGTTAATACTGATATACATTATGCTGTTGTTCTGGTATAGAAATAATGTTGCATGGTACAGTACTTTCTGAAGGAATGGGTGCAGGAAAAAGATACAAAATTAATTCATATACTACTGTACAACTGCGGATTAACATTGAAATATACCAAAGATACTAAAACTGTTGGTTGCTTTCTGTTGTGCTAACATGGGGTTACAATTCTATAAAATACAAATACAATACTGAAGAAGAGCCAAAAGAAAAGTGCATATTATACAATTATGATGTACTAATGAAGAAAGGTACTTAGCAGTGGGACATATTTAAAAAGTATCTCAAATATAATTTATGATGAGAAGAGAATTACAAAATTTACTTGAGATGTGCTGGTGCTTGTCTATTTCAGTTACAAGAGCTCCTGAAGTCAGTCCTGGTGGAGAACTAGATGGGGAAAGATATTCAGTGATTGCTCGAATTTACTGGATGAAGGATGTTTTGTTAGTTTATCTTGAATATGTCATTGTTATGGTGAATAAATCTAATGATGTCACAGATTTTACTTCTCAAAGTTTTGTTTTCTATTATGCTTTTACACCAGGGGATGAAGTATGCTGGCAGCGGAGTGCGTAGATGATATGAAAGTGTGAAGATACACTCCGTTGCGTAATGCAGTGGTGATCCCACGGCTCCGCATTTGCAGTTGTCACTCTGTACAAGTCGGAATCTTTTAAGATAGGTAGGGAACGGACCATGTTCCGTAAAAAAGATGGAAAGTTCCCGTGGCCAGTTTTGTGAGTGGGGTGACACTGTTGGTAGCAGTTTGTTTACCAGGGGACCTGTTTTTCCATTTTTCCGGGTGTCCTGCCAGTCTCTGATCATCAGTTGCCTTAATTGTTATTTGACATACGACACGGGAAGAAGTATGTTGTAGGGATGTCCTGTTCTAATTGCCTCCTTAGATAAGTAGTCTGCCTTTTCATTTCCTGAATAGTCAGCGTGTGCTTTTATCCATGAGATGTGGATGTTGGGGTTGCTAAGAAGGAGTCTGAAGACAGATCGTGCTATTGTGGATTTCGATTTTGAATTTGATATAGCCTGGATACTTGCTTGATAATCTGCAAAGACTTTTACCTGTTGAACCCTGTGGACAACCTTTGGCTTGGGGCTTTAAGATTGGGCCTGTTGAGGACTGTATTGAAACTTTTCTGTTTTGAAGCAGATTGGTATCTACTTTAAAGATATTAGCGGGTCGAGGGCTTTCCGCCAAGGCCCTTATGATTGCGTCGTGATGTAAGTTATCAAAAGACCTTTAATATCGATTGATAACACTATGCTGTGATTTGCTGATGAACGAGCTTCTTTAATTTTTGAGAGGAGGCTTTCGAGCGCTGTATCAACCGAGTGCCCCTCTCTGAAGCCAAATTGTCTGTTGGAGTGGTGTCCTGCTTTCTCAAAATGAAAAGAGAGTAGCTGTGTGAGTGAGGGTTCTAGGACTTTTCTAATTGCCTGGAGAAGGGAGATCGTGGGATACGAAGAGGGGAGGGTGGAGTCCTTGCCCTTTTTAAGGAAGAAGACAATGTTTCCTAGTTTGAATGGGTCTGGGAATGAGCCTACATCTAGACACTTGTTGAAGAAAGAAGTCAAGAATGGGTATTTGTTGTGCAAGATCTTGATTATTAGATTGTCAATACCATCTACTCCTTGGGCTTTGCCCGTCAGGATATTTTTAATGACATAAGTGACTTCTTTCTTTCTGAATGGGGGATCATCCGGATTGAGGTTTGTGTTGTTGTGTAGTTTTCCAGGGATGTTGGCTGGGGGAACATATTTTCTAGGAAGTTTTCTGCAATTGATGTTAGCGAGCCTGTTGGCTGGCTTTTTGCCAGAATGGCAAGCTGGGATGGGAATACTACATTGCGGAAGGCCGCCGTATAGTGCTTACCATAAGGGTTTGATGCCTCCGTTCAGAAGTTTCGCCATCCCAATGTGTGTGCTCTTTTGATCTTCTTTTTATAGTTCGCTTTTACCTTGCTCTCCACCAGGAAACGCCTAGTTCTTTATGCTGAGTTGGCTCTTTGAGCACGTCTTCGCAGAGCTCTGAGTCGCTTTTTTCAGTTTCAAGGCCCTGGGTCCACCAGTTAGGGTCTGGAAGGTAGTAGGTCTTTTTAATCTTGTAGGTGTTATCACATGCCTTCAGTATTATTTGCTGGAGCTCGGTTGATACTATGTTTAGATGCTGATGGTTCTTTATTGAGTTGATTTTTGATGTTAGCTGAGGGATACGTGGTGCCATAAGTCTGAGTAATTTATTATGGTACCCGTGCAGTGTCTTGTACCTCCGATAAGAGGTGGATGTGGTTGATGCAGAAATCGTTGTGGTTATATAGTTATGATCACTAAGAGTTAGAATATCTAGAACATCCCATGTTTGAGTAAATTGTGCTATTGTAACCGAAAAGAGGGAAAGATCTAGCCAGCCTTTAGACTCGCGACGAACATATGTGGGTGGTGCATCTGATGTATAAAGTATGTATAGATCGTTTGCCAGCACATAGTCCTGGATATCTCTGCCTCTTGTATCTTCTGATGCATATCCCCATACTGGATTGTGGCCGTTCAGGTCCGCTCCTATAAATATGGGTTCTGAATTTATTTTTGCTTTTATTTCTCTGAGCTCCTGGAGCTACTCTTGTATGTTCGCTGAGGGAGAGGAGTATGAAGACACTATGGTCAATGACGTGTTGTCTATATGTATTTTAATTACTACCGTGTTAGTTTTTTGGCTGAGTAAGAATGCTCTAGTTGAAGCATTAGGAAGGATGATCGCTGCCTTGAGGTTGGTGGATGTAAAGGTAGTCCAGCTGCTTCGAAAGCCATTCAGTTGCTGAACTTTTAGATAGGGCTCTTGTATTAGGATTATGTGTGGTTTGATTTTCTATACATTGGAGCGCAGGATTAGATTTGCTGACTTTGCACGTGCAAGGGTTATTGGAGGAATTTTCAGTTTTGTTTTGTTGGCTGTATGTGGGTGTTAAACTGACTAAATGCTGATATGGAGAAGGAATATTGAGTCTGTGAGTTTCGAGAACTTGGCGGCTGGTTTATTATTTTTGATGGGGGTAAATTCATTTGTAACAGGCGCTTTAACCAACTAATCCACGGCGCCTCACTACCTCCTACCGATTTCACAGATAGAGTGTCCGCCTTAAAACATTATCTCGTTAAAAAAAAGCGACCCACAGACACCGGTGAGATTCAAACTCGCGATCTCCTGTTTAATAGACAGGCACTTTAAGCATCTAAGCCACGGGGCCTCTGACTTTTCTCCAATTCACAGATATTATGTTCAATTTAAAACATTATCTCGTTAAAAGTAGCGAGACACAGGCACCGACGATATTCGAACACCCGATCTCCTGTTTACCAGAAAGGCACTTTAACAAACTAAGCCAGGGCGAGTCATCACTTCGTCTCTAATTCACAGATAGTAAGTCCATATTTAAACATTATCTCGTTAGAAGAAGCGACAAACACGTACCGATGATATTCGAATTTTCGATCTCTTAGATAGCATATGTACTTGGAAACATTACCTAGTTAAAGAATAGCTACCCACAGGCCCCGGCGAGATTCGAACTCGCGATCGCTTGTTTACTAGACAGGCGCTTTAATCAATTAAGCACGGCGTTTCGCCACTTTTTATGTAATTCACAGAGAGTATGTCTCACTTATAACAATATCTCGTTAAAAGTAGCGACACACAGGCACCGGCGAGATTCGATATCCTGTTTACTAGACAGGCGCTTTAACCAAATAAGCCACGGCGCCTCGTGGCTTCTCACGTAATTCACAGTGAGTATGTCTAACTTATAACATAATCTCGTTAAATGTAGCTAGACACATGCACCGACGATATTCGAACTTGCTATCTCTTCGATAGAATTTCCACCTTAAAACATTATCACTTTAAAAATAACGACCCACAGGCACAGGCGAGATTCGAACTCGCGATCTCCTGTTTACTAGACAGGTATCATGTTTCCCCCTTTTGATTATTTTTTTCTCATTCTTCCGGTTTTTGTTATTTCTCATTATCTCTATTCTTTCATATTGTAACATAGTGTTCTTATAAAATGTATTTTCTGTATCTATTTATAATTTTGGTAAAATCGGCCTTTATTATCAGTCGGCCATCTTGAACACGTTGGGTTGTTGTTTGGACCAGACAGGGAGGCGCCTTTTACATCTAGAGTCAGCACTTGCTCTGCCTTTTGATTGGCTCCCTTAATCAAGAACTAAAATCTAAGTGTTGCCACAAGCCATCAAGAATTAACTGTTGCCACACAATATTAATCTTGTATTTCTTGTTAAAATAAAAATTTTCTACCATAGTATTTTCCATCATCATCAACTATCCTATATGGTTTCCAATCAATCAATACAAATTAAACCCTCCCTCTCTGGTCTTGTCGAAGCCTGTGTGGACGTGAGTGGCAATCAAACATTAATTATTATCAATTAGTACTTAGCTCATTAAAACTGGGTCCTCCATCTTGTATTTCACCTTTTATAACCTTCCTTCTATTTCTCTAGCTTCCATTGTAACCATGGTTACCATTGGAAGCATTCCCTATAGTTTAAC